TTAATTGTATGCCAGACTGAATAATCTCTCGGGAAAGGAACCTCCTCCTCCTGCTCTCCTACCTCCTGCCCCTCCCCCACCAACAGTGCCTCCCTGCTGTGCAAAGAGCCCTTTGTCCTGCCCCGCACTTATCTTGCTGTTTGGCCATATTGACAGGCCAACTAGAGGCATAATAAGGGAGTCAGTCTGACATAAGCAGCTGGCAATTTGAAACAAAAATCTTCCTTTTCTACTCAGACCAAACCCTGCTGCAGAGGTCTCTGGCTCCTCCCATGTTTCCATCTATTTTTCAAACACAGCAGCAAGGAATTTGGCATTTTCTCTTAATTAGGTAGCACAAATCAAAAACTTGGTTCCCCTGATAGAAACAAAATGCCTGCATCCATTGCTTTTTGGGTGACTCACGAGGCAGGCCAAGGAGCAGCCCAGCTCTGGGTGTCCATGTTGCTAATACTGCTGAGAAAGTTCTCATGACTTCAATCTGCTGTCAAAACTCTGAATTCTCATACCACAGGGAAGAGCGAAGGGCACAGAAGAGAAAGCAGTCAGGCCAAAGCAACAGCAATATAAATCAGCCAAAAGTGGCCAATAACAGCCATGTTTCAAACATACTAACACATCCCAATATGCAGAGAATTCCTTTTTTCCTTTATATCAAAAGCGCTTCAAGTGAGCCATACTTTACTCAGGCGTTCCGCAACAAAACCATGTCAGAAAAACTGCGTGAGCAGAAGGGGATTACAGATTCTCTGCTCAGTGAAGACTCTTCCAAAGTGGGCCAAGATTCAGCTTTATTGTTCCTTTATTATCTCTCAGCATTCCCTTCATAAAAAGGGTTAATAGCACGAATATATTCTGTCAACAAGAGAATTGTCTAAAGCTGTGCTTCCTAAAAGCCCCTTATGCCCCAAAGTTACTTACTACTGGTACTTTCAACTCAGTTTAGAGTTAAATATAGATAGTAGGACAATTTTCATAAGACAACAATCTAATAAAACAGGTATCGTCAGTGATGAAAACAAGGTATTGTCTCTACTTCTATGAACTTCCCCGAAGTCTATCACAAAAGAAGTCCAGCACTGCAGCAAAGTAAGTTAAAAATGCCATTTCACCACATATTTTGAAATTTTTCCAAGGGGTGCCTCTGAAAGGATGCTTTTAATCAAATCACAAAGGAGCACAAGTTATAGTTCTAAACGTGTTATTACCTCACATATTTTGCAGTTTTATCTTACAAAAAATACCCCATCTTTAAGTTTTCAGCTTTCAGCACTCAACCAATTTATAAATAAAATTCACTGCTAGACCTTGTAGTTTCAAACTACAAGGTTTACCACGAAATCACCAGAACTGAATGGGAAATTACAAGAAAATTTTATTCTATTCATTACCCAATTTTTTCCTGCTAAGGTATATGCAGCAATCACTCACTGTTGTTAATTACAGCCTAAAGTTTCAGAAGTTATTTCAACATGAGGAGGGTAGTGTAAAAGTAGTCGTCTGTACATGTGCATTTAAAAATTATATCTCTATCGTAAACCAAAGAAATGAAATAGTCACTCTCCCCCTCAAAGGCCAGAATTAGTTCAGAAAGTAGGCAGGTTTGTTCCTGGACACAAAACAATGTAAGATAATAAAAAATTTTCAAGTATACTGGTGACATAAATCCTAGAAAAAGAACCTCTATGATCGTTCAACAAATGATTACATCAGACTCAGGAGGGGTTCCAAACAGGAAATGCAAGTGAAAAAGCAATTATCTTGTAAGGTAACTTTCATATTCTATAATAAACTAAAAGACAATAATTGTATCTAAATTCAGTCAGAACGAGCAAAAACACCTTTAGCTGGCATGGCACCTTTTGCGTGTGAAAACAGTAAGGATTAGAACCAGCACCAGTATCACCAAGTCATGGCTCCGTTTCATTAGCCTGCTGCATCACTGAGAGACAACGCAAGGCAATTACACTTGTGAATGACAAAACTCATTTCCATTCTTCTTTGGTTCCCTGCCACCAATGCCAGAGTCATACTACACATATAGAGGATTGTGGGATTTATGTACATTTACAAAATTGAACATATCAAAATTCTGAGGGAAAAAATTATATACGATGCAAGAGTCTTGGGGGGGAAGAAAACAGTACACGGGCATCTGTTCTGTATGGCACTAACTGGTGGTGTATTGGGGTGGTGGTTCTCCTTCAAGTGCTTCCATACTCAACAGACTGTTCTGCTTAATCAGAGATCTTCCCAACGCGCAGGAGCCGTGGGGGAGGGGAGATCACATTAAGGGACTCTGAGGCTGTCTTCTCAGGTATCCTGTACACCAGGACGGTACTCGATTTCTGAATATTTCTCCTGGTCTGTCCTGTACTTCAGGTGGGTGCCCTCCAAATAGGCACCCATGCTTATGATCTCAGAAGCATATATCCAAAACATATATATCAAATCAATTTTATAGGTCAAAGGCCAAAGAAATCATCTGGAGAAATCTATTACTAATACAGAAACCAAGAAAATACTTCTGAGGTTTGTATTTACAAATCATTCTGAAATGGGCAGTTCTTTTTCCGAATTTAAGACTCCAAATCTATAAAACGTTTCGAACCATTTTTATTCATTACGGTAAGAAAGGAAAAAGACACCACCAACAAAAAATTGATTCAACAAGCAAAGAGATGGAGGAAAATATGTCAGTTGCAGAAGAACGGCCACTTCCCCCCAGCGTTGTGGTTCTCAGGAAGATCCTTACATTTTTATCACGTTGGTCTTGGCTAGGTTGAAAAATTAAAACTCTAGTGCAACTTTCAGTGCCATTCAAGCATAAATTCCCAGATAAAAACAAAAAAATCTGCCCCGAATCAAAACCAAACAAAAAAGAAGTCTTTCAACGGGATCCAGTCTCCAGATGCCACCACCCAAGAGCGGGCAGAACAGTGCTGTGCTCCTTCCCAGCACCCGTAACTTGTGGACCAGCTCAGCAGCGGCGACCCCAGGAAAGCGAGGTCTCCAGTCCTGACGGCCATGGCCTCAGTGCGGCTCCCTGCAGCCAGCAGCATTAATGGAGGCTGCGCCGCTGTCCTTCCCTGGAGACGGCAGCCAGCACTACTCAAGCTTCTCACGTAGCAACCAGAGCTCCGGAGCCAGCAGCTGCTGCTGCCTCTACACTCCACCCTGTGATCCAACCCGGAGGAACAACCTCTCCTTACCCCACCCCCACTCCTTACCCACTTTTTTTGGGGGGGAAGCAATGCTGGGGGAGGATGGAATTACCCTTTTTGAAAGAAACAGCCCTAAGCTCACCCTTATAGTCTGAAAACTAAGGCCTTTTACTAGAAAAATCAACACCTACCAAATTCCAAATAACCGTTTTAATTAAGCTAGCAATTAAGGAGCGGAGATTATGTTTTAGCCCCTCACAGGCCAAAATTCCAGTCCTTTACACTTGCAGCTGAAGGCAAGACATGTGTCATGCTCCACCGAAGGACACAACCTTCGGTGTTCCTATACCTGACGGTCTTGAGTCTTAGATTTACCCCATAACGGGCAAGAATTTCTGAAAACGAACGATCCCTCTTGAGAAAGCTGGAAGAAATGTAATCAATAATTTCCCGAGTCCTCCACGAGACCTAGAAACCTGTGATGGTGTCTTTTCTGCCTGAGTTCTAGCTCATACTCCACACATCTAAAATTACCACTTTGAACTTTTCTCTGTGACCTAAAAACACTAATGACATAAAATGAGCCATCCGAAATCCCCCCAAGGGGGGCACCCATTCTCCCGCAAGGCTCCTCACCCTCCACTCTGCGGGCTCCTTCCCAATGCACCAGGCAGCCAGGTACCATCTACCCAACAAAGAAACGTGCCTATGACCTTGGCCACAAGTATGCCGTGGAAAAACAACTTGTTTAGTTAAGGGATGAAGGAAACGAGCAGAGAACCTGGGTGTTTGCTCAGGACTGCGAGCTCGCGAAAACTGGAGACGTGAACTTCAGTGGAGACAAAGCCCAAAGGAACCCACAGCCCTGGGCCAGCCACGAACTACCGGTGGACACATTGCACAAGAAACATGAGAAAGCAGAAAACGCAGGTCCTGCACTCGCACCCCTGACCCCGGCCGCCAGAGCGGGCTGCAGCAGCGGCACCCGAGGCCAAGGCCAGTTATTCCCAAGAAGCGAGACGGGCCGAGGAGCTCGGAGAATACATGAGCACAGATGGGGCTTTCCCAACCGTGCAACTTTCCCTCTCACGCGATCCACCGACTTAAAAGCCAGGGTTCCCCTGGCCACCCTTCACTCCGCACCCCCGGCTTCCCCCAAGCGGGGGCCGGGGCCGCGGGGGGACATTTTTCTGCCTTTAAAGACGTTCTCCGGGATCGCGCTCCACGCCCAAGGCAGGGAAAACGCCACAGTCTGGCACCACTCCAAGCTCGAAACCCCACACATTCGACGGGGCTGTGTCAGGAGATACTGGGGCGCACGCCACCGAGCGCCGAGAGCGCGGGGTGGGGGCGGCGGAGCCGAGGTCCTCGGTGTGGGAAAGGCAGCAGTCCCGGGCGACGCGGCCGGGGCCGCGGGGAGGCGGCCGGGCGTGATGGAGGGGGCGCGCGGCCCAGGGAGCGCCCGGAGTTGTC